TTAGGTATGTGTGACTGAACACAGTTTGTAATAACTGTGCACATCAGTGAAGCCACAATCACAGCACATTTGTTTCAGCTGTCACAGATGTCAGTTTTGCCAGATAATACTTTGCTTTTATTTGTGTACAAATATACAGTGGCTGCTTTGTTGCCTTACAACCTCAGAATTCAATTCTTCTTAATTATTGGCAATAATTCTACAAAAAATACTCCACAGTAATGAAGTTAAATAAATAAAAACAAAAAAAWTTTTGGGATGGGGGATACAGTTAGGTCCATATCTCTTATATCCCAATTTTGATTCAGTACATAATTCAGTAAACTGTTTGCATGTTTTTTTCACGCCAGAAAGCAGATGACCCAAAAACAAGTGTTTTTGTAAATGGAGAGACTTGATGTGGTGGATCAATTCAAGTACCTTGGTGTTGTTTGACACAAATCTTACTTTTAAGCAACACATTAAGAAAACTACTAACGTAATAAAATTCAACTTAGTCAATTTTCGTCATATTAGACCCTTTCTCACTACACAGGCAGCTAAAATATATGCATGCAATGATCTTTTCTCATATTTCTTATTGTCTTGCAACGTGGTCCCATACAACAGCAAATTTGTTAAAACTCATCAAGTCTCTTTTCAACAAAACAAAGTTTTTGACAGACAACTTTATCATGTTCATTACTGTAAAATCGTTGATAAATACAAGATCTTGGACTTCGAAAATTATCAAAGATTCAGTGATTTAAGTCTTGTTTTTAGGGTCTTTAAATGGACATAATCCTCCACCTTTAAATGATTTCATTCACAAATATACATCCAGAATGAATAATAGGTCTCAAACTAGAGGGTACTGTGTTGTCGCAAAACGCAGAACGGAGTTTGGTCGAAAGGTCACGTCAATCAGAGGAACACTCTGATGGCATGAACTACCTGCAAATATGACTATGACTGTGACAGTTATTCCATTTTTAAAAAGAAACAAAGTTTGGCTGAAAGAAAATCAGTCATGCATTCGCCTGTAACATAATTTAACTGTATACCTTGTAGACTGAGGAGTTTGTGTGTTGGGCAATGTTGAATTTTGTCTGTTTTGTGCACTTGTTTTATGAAATACAGTATTTACCTTTTTTATCTGCTCAGGATGAAATTTAGCTGTTGTGCTAATTCTGGTGCATTTATATTTACAGAATATTGATTAATGTGCATTGTCCTATTTATATAAATAAATAAAATAAATGAAATAAATACATTACCACAATGAATTTTTAACAAAACAATTCAGATGCATTTGAAGTTCAGACTTTCAGCCTTATTTCAGTGGGTTGAACAAAATGGTTGCATAAAAAAGTGAGGAACTAAAACATTTTTAAACACAATCTCTTCAAAGGCTCAAAATAATTGGAAAAATGAAATGATTATAAATAAAATGTTCATTTCTAATACTTGGTTAAAAACTTTATTGGCAATGACTGCCTGAAGTCTTGAACTCATGGACATCACCAGACGCTTTTTCCCCCTTTTTTTAATGCTCTACCAGGCCTTCACTGCGGTGGTTTTCAGTTGCTGTTTGTTTGTGGGCCTTTCTGTCTGAAGTTTAGTCTTTAACAAGTGAAATGCTCAACTGCTTCTGTCCTGTGTCACATCATCAATAAACACTACTGGCAGCCATGCATGCCTAAGCCATCACACTGCAGCTGTTGTAATTTACAGATGATGTGGTATGTTTTTGACCATGTCTTTACCAAACCCTTTTCTGTCCATCATTCTGGTAGAGGTTGATCTTGGTTTAATCTGTCCAAAGAATGTTCTTCTAGAACTGTGCTGGCTTTACTAGATGTTTTTTGTAGGAAAGTCCAGTCTAGCCTTTTTATTCTTGATGCTTTTGAGTGGCTTGCACCGTGCAGTGAACCATCTGTATTTACTTTCCTGCAGTCTTCTCTTTACGGTAGATTTGGATATTGATACACCTACCTCCTGGAGAGTGTTGTTCACTTGGTTGGCTGTTGTGAAGGGGTTTCTCTTCACCATGGAGATTATTCTGCCATCATCCACCACTATTGTCATCCATGGGTGTCCAGGTCTTTTTACATTGATGAGTTCACCAGTGCTTTCTTTCTTTCTCAGTATGTTACTGTAGATTTTGCCACTCCTAATATTGTAATAATTTCTTAGATAGGTTTATTCTGTTTTTGTAGCTTAAGGATGGCTTGTTTCACCTTCTTGGTGAAACACAGCAAAATCAAATCAACCCCAGGCCTTTTTATCTGCTTAATTGAGAATGACATAACAAAGCTACGGTATTTCCCACACCTGCCCATGAAATAGTCTTTAAGTCAATTGTGCAATTGCCTTTGGTCCTTTTTTAAAAGCAGGGTGGGAACATGTTAAGGAGCTGAATTTGTGAACCCTTCATCCAATTTTAATGCGCATACCTTCAAATGAAAGCTGAAAGTCTGGACTTTATGTCCATGTTCATTATATAACTATAATTTGAATATGTTTCAGTAAATGGGTACAACAACCAAATTTGCACAACAACCAAATTTGCATCACTGTTCAAATAAATATGGAGTGTATAAGTATAAGTTATGCACGTTTTTACGATCAAACATATTGCATCTTTAAAAAGGTAGTCAAGATGTGTAAATTTAAAACTAAAAGTCCTCTAAAATTTTATTTTAATTCCAGGCTATTAAGGCAATAAAACAGAAAAACAGCATACTGTAAATTTTTGCTGAATTTTCATGATGGTGAGGTAGAAGGTTTTTGTTGCTTTGATTGGGGTCGGGTAATCTGCTCTCACAGTCATGTGTTTTTAGGATTGTTTCACCATTTTTGAATTGAGACAGAAAAATGTAGGAATTAGAGCAGATTTCTTAACAAGCTTGCTGCAGGAACAAGCAGTTTCAGTGTCGAAAGCTGAAAAAAAAGGCAAGCAAGTGTCACAGCTGTCTCAGAGAATCAAAGCAGAACAAGACGTTATTATGAATATGAAGCCTAAGCATAAATTCAGACTGGAAGACTCTCCCTCTATCTCACCTGCTCCATCCAATCACCATGTCACGCTCCCAGCTGCAGTCACTCAGCGTCAGATCCTCGCCTCACCTTACCAATCTACTCACAGGGATCCAGGTCTAAAGGCCCAGCACCCAAGGATCATTGTGCTCTCCTGACGCGTTCAACCCATCTCCGCCCCTTCTCCATCTTCATCTCAGACTCTTCCTGGCTACCCCTTCCTTCTGGCCTCCACACCACCACCAGTGTCCGAGCCCCGCGGGGGAAGACATTATTCCTAAATCCTAAGCTGAGTGCTAGCTCACAGTAGTTCGCTGCACTCTCGTCTTCTGCCGGGGCTCGAGCGCCAAAGAAATATCTCATATCAATAAAACTGTTTAGCTTCCGCATTTCTTTGTGTGAGTCTTTCCAGGTTGAAATGTTAATTGGCTAAATGTAAAAACACATTTAGCAGGCTAAAGCTGTGTGTCATCATTGTGTGAGAGAATGTGTTGCAGAAAGTGATGTCTGTTTCATACAATATTTGTATGAAAAAGTCTGTCATTTTCAAGGTGGAAGTTCATTTGGCAACAAAACAGGAAATTGTGTAGCAACATTTATTTATAAAATTATGTATGATTACTTTGACAGTTGTTGTATTTTAGATTTTGGGATTTTGATTAGTTCTTTTGAATGAAAAATCCTCTGGATGCTTGATGAGCAGGGACCCGCATTTTAAGACCGTCATGTCTCCCTGTTTGTAATGTCTCTGACTTTTGTTGACCACTTCCTGTCTCATATCTGTTTTAAGTGGTCATAAAGAGGAGCTGAAACTCTTTCTGAAGAGTTCAGTAGCATCCTGGAACCACAGAGTTAAAAAAAATCAAGTGTGTTGAGAAAAGTGAGCAGAATTGTTTTGATTCATCATATTTCACTCAGTGCAGGTTTCACAGAGGTAAAGAGGCCCTTTAAGGATACTGAATGGAAAGAAGCAGATTTTATAGATACTTTAGACATTTTTGAAGTAGAGAACATGGTGTTATTTTTCAATCTGTTTTATATCGCTCTTTGAACGGCCTCAGTTGGAGAAACAAGAGTTTAGGTCTGACAGGATTAATGCGCAAACAGCTTGTTCAGGACAACCAAGACCAATAGATTACTGCAGTCCTAAAACATCTTCTGTAGTATACATTTATGATGGTTGATGTAAATAGTATTTTATAGACCTTTATGCCACCGTCAGGCATTTGCATTGTATTATTTGCATAGAATTCTGTAGTTCTTTGCAATCGTAAATGACAACAGCAGCATAGGGCAGCAGATATGTTTGGCAGATATTTACAACCTTTTTTTGTGTGAAATAAATGTGTAAAATAAAGCTGACAACGTTCTAAACGTTTATATGTAAGCATTTGCATAGATTGCTATGAAAATTTCATGATTAGAACTGAAGTCTGCTTTGGAAGTGGGTTTGCTTGGACCAAATTGACAAGCTAAATAAGTTTAGCTAATATTGTAATAAGTATGAACAAACCCTTTTTTCTCATCAAAATTTGCCATTTAAAAACAATCCCAGGATGTTTTATGGGAAGGAATACTAACTTTAAAGAGACAGTTTAATCTTTTTTCTTACATGCTGCAAGTCTTCCATGTTTTCATATAAACAGAGCATATTACAGGAAATGCATGAAATCTTTGCTGAGGCTGCGAGGGGTAAAAGAAAAGTCTTACAGCTTGTTTTATGTTCTTACCTCACATATGAAAAAACCAAAGATGGAACAACATGGATGAAAATTAATGGTGTGACTCACTTTTTCCTCCTGGCACAAAAGCCAAATGGTGCCACCTGCAGTCTCTCAGATTGTGCTGCAGACAAGCAGCATAGAAAGTAAAACTTTTTTTCTCCCTTCTTCAGATCGAAGCTCCGCCCTGTTTCTGCTGTTACTGCAGATGTATTGTCAGACATATTACATAAAATTTTTCCATCTGTCTCATTTGTCCAGGTGTCCACATTCTGATTGCAGTCGGAGCTGTGATGATGGTGGTTGGTTTCCTCGGGTGTTATGGAGCCATTCAGGAATCCCAGTGTTTGCTGGGAACGGTGAGTCTGGACTTTTAGACACCTAGTTGTACACTGAGTATGGTTTTGTCCCCTTTATGAGTCAGTGTGCAGTCCTGTCTTTGTTATCATAAACCGGCTCTTAGATCCATCACAGCTGAAGAGTACACAGTTGAATTCGATGAGGCAAATGTAAACAGTTTTTTGGCACATAGGAGTATTGTAAAACATGCTGTCATTTTGAGCAAAAGTAAATTTTAAACTTTAAATAAACAGTTTATCTTACTTTTCTTTTAGTTCTTCGTCTGCCTGGTCATCCTGTTCGCCTGTGAAGTTGCTGCTGGAATTTGGGGTTACATGAACAGAGAAACTGTAAGTGGAAACATACACTGCAGGTCAGAATAAGCATCTAATGTTTGTTTTATTAGAATAAACCATTGAAACTATTAGAATAAACATCTAATGTATATAATATAATATTCAAAATAGTGCAGATAGATTTACCTATTTGTTGTTTAATCTCTTTATTTTATGATGTGACAGCAATGATTAAAAACTACTTCAGTCACATTTTAAATCTAAAAAATATCTTTAAATTACATAAAAATATTTAAAAAGACCTAAATTACTTGTTGAAATAAGAGGTCACGAAACCTTTAAGGCAGATTTTAATGCTGACTATAACAAATAAAAGGATGAATGTATCCCAACCCTGTTAATACAAGAGTGAAATTGTTCTTTACGATAAAAGCAAGAGGAAAAACAACATATCGAACCACCTCAGGAACCACGGAACAATTTTAATCCTTTTGTGGTTTATGTTACATTTTACGTCTAGCTAAAATAACGTGCAATCATACTTGATTTGCTTTAAGTCTTTCACAAACTGATGAAGCAAATAAGCAGTTATTGCGTTCTCTTGTCATTTATTCAGAGGTGTATGTCATGTCCTCCATTACAGCCAGTTCTGACCTGTTGTTTTTGTTTTGTTTTCCCCAAAGGTTTCACAGGAGATGAAGAAATTCTATGACAGTGTCTATGATAATGCCTTGTTGAACGACCTTCAGCAGGAAAAAAAATCGGCTGTTGCGCACGCGGTCAAGGTCTTCCATGAGACGGTACGAGCAAATACAGTACTCTAAAAGACCTGATATTTGTTTTTATGTGAAATAATATAAAATGTAACCTCAAAAGCAAAAGAAAGACAAAACATTTCATGGAAATGTCTCATGTACATAGAAAAGTCACCTAAGCTAAACACGGTCCAAACAATCCTGGGTTTGTACTTCATTATGGTTGCTGCTGTTCTCCCTGAGCAGTCCAATGTTCTGACCCAGGTTAAAATCACCGTTAGGTCACCCACTGACCACCAGAACTGTGGCAGGAGTCTGCAGAGTATTCTTTCACACACCAGCGTGTGAGGTCAGGTGCATGTGGCCTGCAGATGTCTGTTCATCTCCGTGTCGTTTCTGTGTTTCAGCTCAACTGCTGCGGTAAGGGCTTAGGGACCTCCCTTATATCGCAGTTGCTAACCGACTCTTGCCCCAAAGGTGTGACAACGGTAAGTGCGGTCACCCACCTCAGCAGTTTCAGCAGCTCTGGATGCATCTTAATGTTGCACTGATAACACACACTAACTACTTCTCAAAATTCCCATAATTCACTCTTTTTTTCCCCAACAGTTACAACACAACAGCAAACAAAAAGAGTTACAGATTTTGAACGAAAATGTGATTTTCTCCAAAGGAAGAGTATAAGTCAACTCCAGAAGCCAGCTATTAATTGTTTGTTTTTTTGCCAATTATGTACCTAAATCTATAAAGATTTGTTGGTTATTTTTTATTCATAGGTTATTAGGGTATAAACCAAAAATTAAACAGTTTGGTTTCTCACAGTTTGGTTTCTCACTAATCAAGTTTTACAGTCTGTAACGTGTGTACCATTAAAAATTATTTATGTATTAAAAAAAAATAACTGAAGTTAGTTAAAAATTCTCATAAGGAAAAAAGTGAGTGCTAAATTTAAACAGTCTATTATATACAGAAGAAGCTCATGATTTGGTGTTTTCTCTTACAGAGCTGCCACACAAAGATCGATGAACTGTTCTCAGATAAGATTTACCTGATTGGAATTGCTGCGCTGGTGGTTGCAGTCATTATGGTGAGACCATGAAGCTGCACATGTCACGTGTTACTGTCATGTTACAGTCGTATGGCAGCAAGGCAGTGGAGGGTTTGGATGCTCCTTTTATACTTAGTCCTGAACCCACACCTGCTGATAAACAGTCTGGCAGACTCATAAGGAATGCTTTACTACCCTATTTTATACACTTTTTTGTTTATCTTGGCCTTTTCCAAATTATTTTTGGATGTGTTGCTGCCATCAAACAGGCATTGATATCGATGATAATCAAGTTGATGATTGAAGACTATAAAAGTTATTTATTTTGTGTTAGTGTCTGATAAATAATGGTTGAAAATAATCTGAAAATTGCCTTTTAGAACCTTCCTTACTGTTGATGCAACAGTGCATTAATTGAGGGCTGTTTTTGAAAATATGATGCATTACAGTACATTGAGAGGAATGAAACTATTATAACTTGAGCTTGTCTTCATCCTTGCAGATCTTTGAGATGATTTTCAGCATGGTGTTGTGCTGCGGGATTCGCAACAGCCCCGTGTACTGACGAGACTAAGTGGAAGGGAGGATAACCTCACAGTCTCCATCTCTATTGTTTTTCTTATATTACATGGAATTATTACCTATAGTGCTTGCTGGATTTAGTCAGCTTTTTAGGATCATATAAAAAATCCTGAATGAAAAGAACAACTTTTGTTACACTGTCAATTAATTTTGTTAGTCACAGATGCTGTCATGTGTATTCTATCAGCCCTATCCTTACATGATATGTAGATTTTTTTATCACTCATTGGTTACACTCACCAGTCGAGGTTCTGTAAATCTTCAGTGGTTGGATTTTACTGCCTTTTTACCTATGATCTGCTTATACATTCTTGGTTTAATGAATTTGTTTCACTGTTTTATGTATAAACTGTATATAAGTATATATTGACAGTGCTTCGTCTGCCTGAGCATGGATATTGTATCACATGAAATCTTTATCCAGTATTTTCTCTGTATTAATCTCTGCTTGTCTTGCTTTAGGCTGAATCAGTAACGGGTGTATGTGACCGGCACTAGTGAAGTGACAGGGGGTCGGCCTCACTAACATAGTAGCAACCCAGAGGGGTGAACAGATGCACACACACACACAAACATTTACACATCATTGAAGCCCCATGTCCTTGTAGTTATGTGATGTCTGCATGAATCTAGTGGATCTCAGAAACTGGTACCAAAGTCAGTGATCAGGAATGTTTCCAAATACTACGGTTAGCTTTTCGACTGAATTCAGAGTCTGTCAGCTGCCTGGGTCAGCTTGATGGTAGTAGATTTTGTGACATTAAGTGAAGACCAGCTGATAACCAAGACAGCTCTATATGACGTTACGCTAAGAGGTCTGTCCCAATGTTGTAATTCCGTGATAGGCCCTGGGTGTTGTCTTTGTGGTGTGTTCATGTGCTGTATGGCAGTTGTTCCTACACTGCCAACATGAGGAGATGTTAAAGCCTCGTTCACTTTGGATTGCAACCCTGTTGCGTTTTCCATGACTTGCTCTGTAGCTTTCAGTGTGAAGACAGTTGCTACGCTCAGTGTTTGCTCTGACATAACTGTCCCAGACTGCATCAGGGGCCGTGCTACTTGTTGACGATACCACCATTACGTCTGTGCTAGGTTGTTGTCATGGATTCACTTTAGTCGTTGCCGTTCTCAGCTTGGAAAAACTCTGTGGAAGCCGCAGGTCATGGAAACACTGCCACGACGATGATTAAACCACCACGACTTCGCTGCAGAAGTTTTGTGCATGCCCAAAACCATCGCTGACCTATCACGAGCGTTCTTACTGTCACTGAAGATCTCGCCAAGACCTTTTCGAACACCATCCACTACCTGACAGATTTTTTTTCCATCTTATGAAGTCATCATCCAGTGTGAAGTGTGATGTAGTCATTAAAACCAGTTTATAACACTGGTTTGGTGTTTGATGGTAGAGTTACTGTAGCCTACTTTGAGTTTCTCCTCATCACCTCTGCTGACAGCTTATCTGACCTTCACACAGGTTCTCTTTCATTTCATCCATGCTGAAGCAACTGCTGTTTATTCATGTGACCAGTTTTCACTTCCTGTTTACTGTCAGTGCCAAAGAATATTGAAGGATGTATGTCTGGACCTCCCCTCCAAAAAAAAAAGAAATGTTAAAAGCCTACCATTGGCATTTTGTTATTTTTGTTATATTTCATCTGTAATGATTTATTGTAGTCGTTTTATACACTCTGAAGGGTGGAGACCTGAAAAACTGATTGAAACAACTTTTGATCTGTTCTGAAAACAACCCTGTTATCTGTTGCTTGTCAAATCAGTTCCTCACATCCTTACTTTTTTCATCTGTTCATACATCAATTCAAGTGATGAGTTGAGTACAACTGAAATCATACAGCAGAATTGTGTCAAAATATAACTCATAATGTCATAAACTCTATGCATTCATCTTTATATTTTCCAACAAACTTGGCTGTTTACTCGTCAGCTGTCTGTCGGGTTGATTCCTGGTATATTGGGTTTTTCTGCCTGCAGCATGACCCATTCCTTCACCTTGGTTCTGCCACTTGGCCTTTTGCTTTGCAAGGATAACGTGTCCTTTTCTTTCAAGGATTAGCGGTTGTCTCACCGTTCATCAAAAGCCGTTTCTATGGCGGCAATGCCAGTAGTCTTTGGTTCCCAAAAGAAAAGCTCCTTTATCTTCCAAAACGGCAGGGTAGAACCAAAGGAACAAATTGGAACTGGTCCCAGTCGTAAAAGTAGGCGGAGTCTCTGGCTGTTTTGAGTCTGGGTTTCTTTGTCTAGTGCTGTCCAGTTTTGTCTTATGTGATACAGTTCTGACATTGTGCTGCCCCCATCTGGCTCCACTGCCTATCAACCTTCTCCATTCACCATTCATGCACCATAACTGTTCTCAGTAGAGGCTCAGACAGGACTCACACCCATCAGTAATTCTCGTGGCCTTTATTTAGAACAACTGAATATATTGCACAGCTATTGCTTTGGCTTGTACAAACACAGATGGTGCAAGTGTACTTGTACTTGTGTACTTGTGCATACATCACAGGGAGCTCAGCAGGATTTACGTTCCATGTTTTCTTTTTGGTCCCAATTTCAGTTCTCCAAAAATCCATCTGCCACCTCACACCACTCCAGCGCTTTAACCCCATCATTAAAAACCACTCATCGGATCACTGAAGCTTTGAATCCTCTCGTGTAGTCTTAGCCTTTTTCCTCAACCAGTTTAAACCTTGCCTTGTTAACTGCTCACATGGAAGCTGAGAACCAGTGGAAGTGTGTTGTATTGTACTAATGAAGCTAATGAAAGTTGTAGAGAAACAATGTATGCCTTTTTTCTCTTTGTATTGTGATATCTGTGTCCGGTACGTCAAACAAGTCTGGAAAAGGGAGGGAGATTTAGTGGCAGTGCCAGCTGAGAGCAAGTCAAGCCCTCGTTGCGTTAGTTCTTTTTCTCACAAGATCATTCAAATTGGTGAAATGGGGTGAAAAAAATCCAGCATCTRTTACACTGGTGATGAGAGCACTCCCTGTGTTTCTCTCAGTTGACTGTATTAACCCTTTCTATTTGGCAGTTTTCTATTTTTTATTAATTGGCAGCCTTTTCTCAGGACACGCTGCCACATAAATCTCAGCCTCTCTTTACCTTTGTAGACATTGATTTGCCCAAAATATAAAGGGATTAAATGTATTTTACAAATAAGTTGTTGGCTGGTTGTGTCTTTTACTTTATAAATGCTTCCAGTCGGAATGCCTATTTCCAGATTCCTACACAATAAAGTGCCACCACCTATAGTTAGTTACTAGGGAAAAAAATATTTTAAAGGTGTTGGGAGAAAGCTTTGTGATTCAGCTATAATACTAATAACGGTGGTCCATCTAAATATTGGTGCTTGAGTGGGTGAGCAATCCTGTCTTTTACTTGTTTCCCTGCTCCAATACACCAGTTTCATTATCTGAATTACCTCTTCAAGTTCTGCAGAAGCTTGGTAATCACCCATGCGTTAGCATCAGGTGTGTTGGAGCAGAGAAACAAAACATGCAGGATAATGGACATGGAAGACCAGGAACCCCCACCCCTGTAGACTACCTGCTATGTCACCAATTTGCAGAGCTACTTTTTTACAGCAGTTACCACAGCTTGTCTCCAGTTGCATCTCCGTGTGTTTGGTCCAGCTACTAGAATTCTTGTTGATGCTTCAAGATGACTCTGCTTTAGCTCCCTCAGGTTGTAGTAAAGTACAGGTGTAGCTGAATTAATTGTGCAGTGTCTACAGCACGTGTCAGACTCGAGGCCCATGTGGTCCACAAGAACTTCAAAAATGTAATGTCCTAAAATAAGCATGCACTGCCTTTAGTAACAACACTGACCATAAACTACATCTCCCATAATGCACATCGATTATTGTACCCATGAAATGACAACATTCCACCACTAGGCAGAGGTGTTTGAAAATGTATAACCAAAGACTAGTGCAGGTAAAAGAAGAATGATTCTTAGGAATGTGGTTTGACGAAAAACTCACTTGAAACTTTCATAAAAAATGCAAAAAGTTATTAATATACGTCGATGTTTAGCAGGACAGGAACGAGGAGTAAGTGCAGCTTTACACAAAATACTATATGTAGCACTTAAGAGATCAGTATTTGACTATGGTTGCATATATATAT